ATCGTGTGAGAGAGCTTCAGTTATTACCTGATCATCTGGCTTGTTTTCTCCTAGAGACTGATAATTATCTACAGATACGCGAGAAGAATAGGAATAATGTGGCGAATCCGTATCAGAAATATAGTTATACCCATTTAGTATCGTCCTCTCGGAAAGAGGTAACTTTTTTTCACGAGCTATTTTTCAATGATAATGTTTGCTAGTATCATCGTCTGAAGTAGTCTCCATCTCATACCTACGGACCTCTCTCAAAATTCGTCTTCTATCATAATGGTTCCATGTAATAATGTGGATGTATACCTTTTCCTGGATGTGATATCCACGAATTGGATATGCGTGGACGACTTTCATTCCAAATTTTGATTTATCAATCTTTTCTGCCCCCAATATAATTTTTACTAATCTTAGTTTGAATATAGATAAAGGTTCATTATCTGGAACAATAACATCGAAGAAAGGTTTAATGCCCGTGATATCTACTCTAGCCTTTTGTCCATTAATTAGAGGGCCATGGATATGTAAAATATATGTCTGTACATTATTAATATACTCAAAAGCGTCTTCCACATCATTGGGCATAAAGTGTATAGGTTTTTTTTCGGATAAGCTCTGTTGAAGTATAGCCGTTAACCCATTATCACATTCCAAAATATCATTGCGAGATGGAACCCCTGCTATGCTGTCGCCGCCCCCGTACCGGATGTTTTGTTTGGTTTGTGCGCTCATTTTTTATTGGTATATGCTATCAGTTTCAGTTCGTTTATATTTATGACAATATTCTTTGATAAGTTTAAATTATTTTTTTGTGCCTGGTGAATGGTATTAAAAAATATGCATCAAGTTTTAGTGAGATGCATATAGAGAATCGTGATCTTGATAGTTTGTACTTAAAGTATTCAAGTGCGGTAATATATTTATAAGAAAAATGGCAGAAGAATACCAATTTCAATGTATATGATTGGGTATAGTATATGTTTAGTCATCTGCAGACTTATTTTATATAATATGGTAGATGAATACTTATTTTAATGTATGTGATCAAGGTATTCAAGTGCAGTAATATATTTATAAGAAAAATGGCAGAAGAATACCCTTTTCATGATATGTGTTCGAGGTATGTGATCGGTAGGTAACTTCAGTAATATATTATAAGAAAAAATGAAGAAGTCTACCTGTTTTGATAATACGTTTTCGGGTATGTGGTCATAGTAGGTAACTTCAGTAATATGGCAGAGCACCTCACTTTTTCTATGACATTAAACATGAGCTCAATCGATTTGATAGCAAACCTGATAACATTTATGGGGTATATATTGATAAAAATGCAACTAAGATGTAACTAGGACGCAATTTGGCAACATACTCGATGGCAATTACATAGTATAGGTTGTATACATATTTGATAGCATTTATGCGTCATTCTAAAATAACATGACCCGATAACATTTTCGCGATATACTTGACAACATGTATCCGATAATATTATTTTTTCTATTAAGTATTCTATGCGGTATACAAAATGAGTTCTCAAGACGATATTAATCAAAATTGGCAGAAAATTGAAAATGACGTAAAAGCAAAGCTTATAAAATTTCTTCAAAGTGATGAAGAATCAATTTTTTTAGATATAAATAATGCTATAGAGTATGCATTTTACTTATATTATTTGAAAAAATTAGGCCTCACACGTGGTCCACAAATGACAACACGCAACTAAATGCATCGTCGTTATATTTTTTTTACCCATGTGGCCAACTTTTGTTATTAGACCACATGCTTACTGCCAACTCGATATATGTCAGTTCGAGTGCGACCTAAAAAGCAAAATACACATGTGACTAACCGCGATCATTAAATTGGTATACATTGTGTCATATGTGATCTGATGATAGAAATCGACCAGACCACTGACCTGATATATGTTAGTTCAGGTGTGGCCTAAAAAATATATCACGCCACTGACGACGGTGGCCAACCTTTGTCATCGGACCACATGACGATGGTGGCCAACCTTTGTCGTCAGACCACATGATGATGGTGGCCAATTTCTGTCGTCACGCCACACACCTGAGTGGAAATAACCTAAGCTAAGTGGAAATAACATAATTATGTTATTTCCACTGCTTTTTTCCATATATTTCTCCCTATTTTTTGTATATTTTTGTAAAAAATAAATTGAAATCGAAAAAACATAAGAAAAAACGTATCGCAAAATGATGGTAATAAATGTTAAATATTAAATTAAAATATTGTTTATTATTATTTCAAAGTGAGACGTTATTTT